GCATACTATTGAAACACTAAAACACTTGGGATTTCAAACCGAAACGACGATTGTAAAACATTACTGTAGGAGACTTCTACATAACGAAGAACTTGCGACGATACAAGATACGAAAGCCGGCTAAAAACTAACCGTGCAAGGAGTATTGAAGGAAGTAACGTAAGCTCCATCTTGTCTTCTACAGCACCTAGTCATGTAGTTGAATGAATAACACTATAAAAGTTGGAAGATCTTCTATACAGCCCTTCATTTTGTTCAGCGTACCAGTCAGAGGTGCTTATTCCTTATAACAATTAACAGTGCTAAGAGTTCCCAGGATAGACTTTCTATTAACCCCGGCATTGGAATATGAATGTGTCGTTTTCTTGTTCAGCAATCGCGAGGTTTTTAAACAGCATACATTTACTTCCATAAAAACACAATACAATACAACGCTAGCTGACGTTTCGGCAGTATCGCCTTCTTCAGAGCCGCTTTTTCGTGACTTCCGATGAGGAAGTTTAGCACAGCTGATTATAGTCGCATGTGGTTGACGAAGTACTAAGAGTACTTCGACAAGTATATGTTGAGAAAATCTTCAGAAAATTCTAGAAAGAATGAAAGAGAAAAGGAACCTCTATAAAGAAAACATCACTACTGTACCACAATCAGTCTTCTGCACATCAGCACAGTTTTAACTATTAAATTGGTGGCTAAACAAGACCTTCATCCCTTGCATTCCAAAAAACATTCGTATGTCGCCACTATTTGCGAAGTAGTGACTACGTTGTTGTCATGTCAGGATGCAGCGATCCTTGGCATTGGTTTCTCTTCAGCTGTTTACTGAATGAAAATGTCAAATTCCTTCTCGGTTTGACTGGTCCTGTTTGTAGACTGAACACGGCGTTATCGAAAAAATGCAGTTTTTGATAGTTCTTCAGTTTTCTCTGCGGCACAACCATAGACATGCGATAAGATAAGTGGATTAGAAAAATTCTTTGTAACAAACGATCGACACTGTTCGTCTGGCAAGAAAGTTTCTTATGGGGTTCATGAAAGATTTTTGCCGAAAATACTTCAAAAGCTCGCATGATTTTTTGTCATCGATTTTGTTCACCAAAAATTATGTATATATATATATATATATATATATACATTGTTAAGCAGCATAGGTGACTTCTACAAGTGAAGCAAAGTTAATTAGTATTCACCGCTCATAAGCCATTAATGAGTTCTCGTCGAGAGCAACTCCATAGGGAGGTGCTTTTCTCTATAGAATACTGCTGTGCAAGTTGATAACCCCATAAGCACTGGAAACGCCAGGACCTTGTATTTAGAATGACGGTTATAACTTCATTCGTATGTTTTGGTGACAATGGCATAAGCCTTGGACAATTCAAATTTGTTAAACCAGCTTAGGTTGATATTAACATGAACCAGGCCGTGCTCACAGATTATCCTCTACCCATGCTCCAATTCTCGGTCAAAAGTCGAGTCCATGCCTGTGTTGAATACGGATGCAACTCTATCAGGAGACATCCCTTTAATTCACAACATATTCATAGCACTGTATCACTATCTTCCTGCAAATAAACTCATTTAAAAAATAAAGAATGAAAGGACAATGCACGCGGTATTGATTTATCCCTAAGGGATGCGCCATGCGTCCGACTTCTTTAGGCATCCTTAGAAGTGATTAATGCATATCCGCCCTTTACAACGACTCTCGGTGAGGTAAGTGGATAGAAGTTGAATATAATAACAATGAATGAAGTTGGGTTAACCACAGAATAATAAGAAAAAAAGGTTCACAGAGTATCATTATGTAACAGAATATGTTTGTTCCCAACGTAATCTACTGAAAAAATTTACCGTATGAAAAGTAATACATTTAAGTAAATTCGACATGTATAAACTTATGAAATGGTCCTTTCCTCGACTTGTTCATAGCAGCAATATAGGAGATACCACTAGTGATCATTCAACTTATCGTGACCAGCTGCCGCCTTCTAAGAACAGTGTTTCTCTTTTTCAAAATCTCCATCTGGAAACAAAAGAAGTAGTAAACCTAAGCAACGGCTCGAGCATGAGGGGCCTATAGAGCGGTGCTATATGACGAATAACTTTATTGATGACTGCCCAAGCCACTCGATGATAACTTCATCATGTGTAGGCACAGGATAATACATTTGGTTAAAATGGCAGGTTTTACAGATGATTATTGCGATATTAACGAAACCAGTAACTGATGATCCACTGAAAAATGGTAGACAACCTGCCTTCCCTCAACAGATCTTAGGAAAAAGGTCATATACACTAGAATTCCGTTAAGAGCTTTTATAAATCATTCTACCGCTAAATTATCCCACATATTTTCACACACCTGCATTGGCTTTTGCAAAGTTTGGGCTGGTTACGGCAGCATAGAGCAAGAAAATCACCTCTTTCGTGATTCCTGATTGTCACTGCTCTTGTGCGGAACTAATGACATCCACTACAATTCAAGAGTTTGACGCCCTTTCAAGCCTCCTTTCCCGTTTGGTGAAGTAGGCGGAGGTGTTCGGTGTTAACTTTTCACTTCCTGCCTATTATTACTTTTCACGGCAGGGTATCATGTGAAATAGAACCACTAAGAGGCTGAGATTTTTCCAAAACGTGGACCCCAAGCTATATCGAATCCGCGATTACTCTTCCTGGAGACTCATGTGTTATCCACTGCACCACTGAGGCCCTTGCATTGCCTTTCTCTCTTCTGCTTTAATACCTCTTTTATATTCTGAGCTGGCTTGGCGTTCAAGTGTTCAGTATGTTCGATAACCTTTAACTTTAAGGCACAGAGCAGTACTGCTTCACGATTCGCCAACCTATAGCCTACATTGAAGGCGCGTGTGGCGCTGTGGCCGGAGGCGCCCTGCAACACACACGTGGCATCGATCTTTGTTCCCCTAGCCCACCAAGCCTTCCATCTCTCCGGAGTCGGCAAATTGGTACCAGACTTGTCTAGGAGATTAGCAGCACTAGCTCCATACATCGCTAGGCCAATGCGAGTCATTGTGAAGGCCAGATATGCACTCAATCACCTCCAAACGATGCTTAATGGAGTGCATGGCGCATCCCTTAGGAATTGATCAACGCCGAGAGCTTTATTCTCTTGTAGCCTACATTAACGTGCAATAGCTAAATTACAATGCCTGTATAAAGCAAAAATATGGCCATTGTTTACAATTTACCTATCCAGTACTCCTTCGCTGCATCCACGTCCATGCTTACAAATTGCTCTGGAATATGCAGTAGCGGTCTTCGCATGCAAGGTACAAAACAAGAGATGATATTGTGATCTAGTTTCTGCTCACAACGAAGGTATGGAGACTTGGTTGACCCAATAAAGTTGATTGACCTGTAACTCATTTGGAATCAATCAATTCCCATTAAACTGAGCTGAGCACAACTCGTCCTTACTCGCATATATTAATTCAAAATACTCGTTGGCACTGCACTCGGTACGACTTTTTCTTCGGCAGCTCCCGTTTACTTGGACAGTTGGACTGCCCATCCTCAAAGGTTTAACGGATACCAACGATTTTCTCATTCTTTCGTTGTATTACAACGATATTCCATGGAGGTACATTTTTTGTGGCTTAGCTGCAGCTTGAAACTAGTGAACCTTTCTCCTCGTCCACTTCCAAAATTCTGGCTGAGCATGTTCCACATTAATACTATGACAATCATATTAGAGCGTTTCCAAGTGTTCTTCACACGAAATGGTGTACTCTTTTGGGTTTGGAGTAGGCTTATTGTCTTTTGGTTAGTAGATTGTCATCGACGGCAACAGTCTTAGTGTTACCACTGGACAATGGATCGACCCTCACTGAGGACACCAAACAATACGACCGTAGCTTCCCTACTCTATGAAACGTCCAAAATTTGTGTTTGAAAAATGGCAATTAAACAAATGCCATCTCCTGTATTGTCATACATTACCAGTAGCAGTCAAGGACTGCTTGCACTGTAGGACAGAAGATTCCACACGGTTACATATACGCCTTCGCTATTGTTATAAAATACAGAATTTTCTAATCCATAACTCAAACTAAGGGCGCGTGTGGCGTCGTGCTCGGAGGTGCCATGCAATACACATGGGATCGAGTCTCGTGCCCCTGGTCCACCATGCCTACTATCCCTCCGGAGTCCGCAAATTGGCACCAGACTTGTCTAGAAGGATAGCAGCACTGGCTCGATACATCAGTAGGCCATCGCGAAAATTCAGTCACCTTCCAACAATGATGCTTAATGAAGTCGAATGGATGGCGCATGCCTATGGATCGACACCGAGATCTTTACCCTTTTTTAATCGAACTCTTGAAATGAGCTCTGAAACAACCCATATGCAAGTAATACCGAGTAGATTAAAATTTACATTATTGTCATTAAACAAAGATTTATATAAAAATAATGACACATATTTATTTGAAAGAGCAATTAATCACAATCACTGTTATTATTTGTACCCACAAAAATAACCGATGGAAGAAGGCAAGAAAAGTTCTCCAGTCATTCGCATAATATTTTCCCTAAGCGAAAGAATAAAATTAAGAAATTCTTAATTTACAAACAATGATCAATCAACCGTTGTAGTAGATATCTATCTAGAAGAAGTTGCTTGCAAATGTAACGAACTTCTACATAAACTGTTATTAACAACATCTTCAACGAATTCAAATACTTTGTCAGATGAGTCGCTTGAATTCAAACAGAACCATAGAAAATTCCTACTGCTTCACCAAAACCATGAAAACAATTTAGAAATTCATAAATTAAAATAACTACGTACAATGAAACTTATAATAGTAAATTGAATGTTATTTTCCAAATGAAGTCTCACTTTAATAGAAACTCGTCCTACTGTCCCTCCGAAACAACAAATAACAAATTCACCACGCTTCACCTAACCGTACCATCATTTTATGCCACCCGTAGGACCGATGATACACTTCCCATTTAAAAGGTTAGCTGTGAAGTAATCAAATTGAACGCAGTGTATTGTTGTCGTTAACTTCAGGAGAATCAGAATCAGAATTATCTGATTGGAATAAAAGCATTTCCAGGTCATGCATATCATGTGACTCGGCTCTATCCATCCGCCGATGTTGGCTGAAACTACAACTGACAAGACCTACACCACACAATGCCGAACAATAGTCTACAATTTGCTCGACATGTCACACTCTGCTTTTTCATATCTTTTATGATAAAAATAGTAAAAAAGATATGTAAATATGGATAACTACCTTCGAACATTTGATTTAGAGGTGAGGAATCGATTTAGAAGGAAGAATATATAAACAAGAATAAACCACTTACTTGAGCTCATCATGGAAAAACTTCCTATACGAACTGGTTGGCCAGAAAAGGTGCACCAAACAAGCAATAGCAATATAGTTAGCAAATGTTGTAATTCCTGAACTAGTTTCTTGTTAATTCATAGTGTTGAAAGAATTTTGAGAATCGCGCTCTTTACTTCAACAGCAACAAAAATTTTTCCATTAACCAGCAGTTAAGAAACTATCTTTGACAAAAACCTCAGAACCTACACCGTTGGTCAAGTAGTTGGTAAACAAGCCACTGCCTAATTAAGAAAATTGAACAAGCCATCGTATTTACAGGAAAGAAAAGCTAGCTGTAATCAAAACAAAATTAAACAAACTACTGACCAAGAATAATTTTGAATCGCCAAAGTTGTGATATAAATGACGCAACAACACCAAGGCCTGGCAGATAAATGAACCAAACAAGGAAACCGGCTCCAATATGAGCGACAAATGTTGCTCTCTCCTCAAACTGCTCCCTAAATGCGAAAATACAACCAATATAAGACGATAAAAAAGTAAAAACACAAAGAGACTGGTAATGGAATTGTAATAATAAAACTAACCTTATTATGAGACGTCTGATCTCTACAAGAAACCACAACGTTAAGAATATTCTAATAACCAACTGGCCAAATCCTGGCCATGAAGTGAACACGTTCACATCATGTAAAATGTCATAAACAAACATCTGAATAAATCAACAATCAACACGTATTTAAATTGATGAGCTCACAGAGGTTGAGAAAGATGTTTATTCGGTCAACCTTTCGACGTCGTCTTCATTAGAGCGGACGATACGAGTCGGTGGTCCACAGTTGCTCGTTACCTCGATGTGGTGTCTTCGTAGTAGTGACGAACAATTGTAGACCACCGACACTCTGATGAAGATGAAGAGATCGAAACGTTAGCCGAATAAACATCTTCACCAACGTCGTGTGCCGAGGTTAAATGGTAGTCGGTTTAAAAATCAAATCGACAATATTTGGCAAGAGAGTTTAATAATAAAACAGAGATATAACTTACAAAATTGCAAAGGAACAGAATAATATTCGCTCCAGCCAGAATAGCCCATGAAATAATACAAGTGCGTGACGGCTCCGCACCCCATGGATACAGTCCCCAACCTCGTGACAATAGCAATAACAACAACCATAACAACTCAATGCTAACAATTCTGAAACGGATTTGTCCCTTGAATGAACATCCTTGGTGCTGTCTAACACATACCTCAAAATCTCTCCAATCACTCTGGCAAGAAATAAGCCCTGTCCATCAAAAGCGAACACAAAGACATTCAATGATTGTAATGCAACACCGGCAGTTTTCATAGTGATAACTAAATTGAGGAATCTGGAATTTTGCACATATTAGAAATCCTGTTCAACATTTCAGATAAATATAGGAATCGAACAAATGTTTATAAAATAAGTCGCCACTGCAATACAGAAGGATTGGTTTAAGTATTTTTAAAATTAGGCAACTGCGCCATTAACATACTGCGACAAGTTTGATTTATCGATAACTAATGATATTGATAATTCTAACCACAGTACTGAAGAACACGAGCACTTGACATGCCGAAAGAAACAACTGCCATAAGAGAATGCATTAACTCCAATAAAGCACATATATATCAACGGAACAGTAAGACCGTATTGTTGCATAAGGAGACATAAACAATTATCACTCAATCTACTTAATATCTGTGGTCTAAAAGTTCTTCATTCGATTCACCATCCATAGAAAAGACAGGGTACTACGCGAAGGACAGTGACGAAAGCAAGCAGTATTTCTAAAAGGACTCACTACGACAAGCCACACCTGAATGATGATTAATGTCTTTTAACAAGAAGAAGTATGGAGTGACTTAGTACTTACATGGAGTGACTTACGACACATGAGTGGAAATCAATGTTACCAACAACACCATCATAGCTTTTCTAATGATATCATTCTTACAACTTGAAGCATCAACCAGTCGGAATGTAGGTGAGCTTATTCCCAGAACACTTATAGATAGACTGGTATTCAACAGAACGTCAATAAAACAAAGTTTTTTGAAAAACGGCTTTGTCTCCTATGTCCCATTCACGCACGACGGAAATAATACCTCCCTATTTCACAGCTATGTATATCACTGACCAGAAATCAACATGATGAACGAATTAGCTTCTGAGCAAAACAGGATAAAACAAGCGGTTTAGAAACGATCAGGAGTATCGACGATTTCGTGAAAAGGACAAGAAACAACCGACTCTATTCCTATATTTCCATCTACCACTCGACCTGTCTTAAAGTACGCTGTGTACACCTTGATGATACACAAGGACGAGGAGCCACTCAGAGTTATCGGACGGCGATGTTGAGAGCAACCTATATCACGGTAGTGAGAAAGAGAATAGGAATTTGTGACCAACTCGGGTAATTCAATGATCAGCCCCTGTGGAAATACATAAGCACACAGAGACACACCACACACACACACACA